GCGAGGGGTTATTGCATGCATGTATTTCTAGTAGGATATATACATGATTGTGAATATAATAATACCTGGAAGACTGCATACTGCCGCGAGCGCATTAAGGGTTAGTAGTGTTATGCATAAATTATTCATTGCGCCAATTAGTATACATTCAGATTTCTCTATCCGGGAGAACAAGACAAACATCTGCCAATCTCTCTTTCAAATTTCGAACAAATTAAAACAAAAAATTAATATAATTCTCCTTGACCAATTATCATTAGGCATTAGCCCGTAATACGAAGTTCTTATGTTATTCTACTTCGCTAAGTATATGTCATATAAATTCACAAAATGTTTATAGAGCACGTTCTACTGTATAGTTTCGTACCTTTCTTTGGCCAACGGGATGGTAGAACGTCCAACCCTTGTCATGAGCATTGCAATCATAAAAGTTGTGAACAAGTGTATGTGTTAAGTGGCAATTTGTCATGATATTCTTCTTGCGATTTTTCTTAAGAAAGTTGTACCCAGCACAGAATGGATCATGCAAACATCGAAGGCCACAATCAACCTTGAAATCATACGTCTCTTCAGATAACATGCTTTTTATCAAAGGGCATACATCTATAATAATAAATGATATTTATCAGACAAAGAATTAGTTCATCAGTTTTGAACTTTCTTAAGCAAACAGTAGCTTCTCCCATCATTCCAACTCGCTTATGTACCTGTATTCCAAGTTATTTATAAATTAATAGCATCTTTTGAATTGGTCATGCACACCATGTCAGATTTAAAAGGTTTCCGATAATATAGTGTCTAATGTTTGATATGTTTTTAAGTTCCCTTAAATTGGTCAACTGTCCTTATAGACATTCTATCGTAGAGTGGCATGGTCCTTTTGACTAAAATTCTCTGGTGCATTAATTATAGCTAAACGTGGAATTATTTTAGATTTAGTAATGTCAAAATATTTTGTATGGCCACAAAAAATAATTTTTGACTGATGCTACAAATATTTCTCGGCATAGACCAGCTCGAAAAATGTGCTGTCTCAAAACGCTTAATAAGCGAGAAAATGTTTAAATAATTATATCCTGTATATATAGATAGAACCTTTAATATATTCCTCCATCATTTCAAGTAACCTTGAAATATTCAAACCTTGTTTTATAGTATAGAACATGACCCATCCATGCAGTACGTTTTCTTATTTCGTGAACTGTCATGATCCAGTGTCATTCCACAATTTTTGCTTTTCGATATTACAAAATTAGCACAATTAATTATTTTTATTGGCTCACGACAAATTCAGTTGAAAATAATGCAAATGCAACATGAAAGAATTCGGAAAACCTCCAAACCGATTAACGTACAGTATAAACATTATTGTTATTAAGTTTTAGTTATATAAATCAAAACGATATTTTTAAAAGAAACTTACCTTTAAACAACAAACGAAAAGAAAGCGCCATGTTCGTTGAATTCTCCGGTCTGCAATATTCGTCTTCCATTCTAACAGCAAGAGGAAACATCAGGAACAGAAATTTAAATGACAAGTGTGGTGTTTTAACAAAACTTTTCATTCTGCATATACGTTAGAAACGAACAAAGGTTATCCACATTTGTTGTTTCTTGTCAGCATTGCCTTGAAAACTAAATTGGGCGGCCAATTTTGGGAATTTATATAGTGACGCTTGCACGCCAGTTGATTAAACTATGTTTACATTCTAAAATTAATATTGTTTAATTAAAAGGATGCGCAGCTCTTCGCTATCGCACGATTATTCACCTTGAGTACTCACTTTAATTCAATTTCCATGCAAATATCGCTTCAAATTGTCTGCCAAAGTTTCATCTGTTTAATTATTGAACCGTGCTTTCACCTGTCTAATCTTCTAGAACGGATCGGAGTAGCTACAACATATAAAGTTAAGGAATTCAGAGGGAAATTTAAACGCTTCGATGAGACTGTCGCTTACAAACAATATGATGGGCGAAAGCAGTTGTTCTTGTGTGGAGAAAATAAGTTTCAGTGTAGTAGAATCGTCTTATTGTGGCACTATATAGCCTTAGGCTTAGTTGAAATCACTACTGCATAGCGAATATTTTTTTTCCAAAAAGGCTATCTCAAGCAAAGTAAACATTCTTCACATTGGGGATATAGATTGTGTTGGCAATAAAAACATTTTCATATATTCACAACATTTTTGTTTACTACATTTAGTTTGTGGTTCGTTGACAATTTCATTCATTGTGTGCTTACATAAAAAAGTTGAGAAGAATTTCAAAATATTTTAGTGATAATTATTGCAAAATCATAATAGTACTGCTATGGTTTAGCGCAAGAGGGTTTGATACACGGTTAATGACTAATGTTGACATTGAATTGTTCATTTTTAAACATTAAATATGATTCACTCATTCATGAAACAGATTTTTAGTTGTGATGGTCTGTTGTTTCTTTTAGTTTTATATCTAGCTCATATTAGGACAACATTCTTCTTTAGGTGTTAGAACGGTTTAAAACATATATTTTGTCTACGTTTCCTATGAATTGAGATACTTTCGGATAGGTCGCGTAGTTTTGGAAAAGTGTGTAAAACTTAAAGTACGGACTTCTTGCCAGTCGTTCAAGTTAGAGGACAGAAATTATAGCATTATATATATATACGCCGAAAATGGCCTATGTTGAAAGTAGTATTCGGATAACTACAGTATGTTTTGTTTCTGTTGTCATAGTGAAATATTAGCAATTAACTTGCGGGGTTTCCCTCCTTGAGACTCCGAGTTCGTTTGCAAATCCCTTATCTAAATCGCCTTTAGTGGTTTGCAATGTCCACTATTTTTGTTTTAACGTAGTTTTCTAAATTTTCGAGATCATCCTGGTATTATGCCTCCTACAATAATTGTAAGTCGCTGCATGGGGGCACATGCATGCAGTGTGCGCTGCATGTAAAATTGCCCTTTGGGTTTTCGCAGATGTCGGATTTTTTTCGGACACAATTCAACCTTTAACCCAAGCCTTCTCCGCTTGTTGAATATATGAGATCTTACTCCCCGCCTAGAGAGACTTATAGTATGCCACAGGGGCGAATCTAGCCTTAAATCTGACCGTAGCATATTCTTCGTTCTCGCATAACTGCGTTCTGAGCATCGGATTCTGTCCTAAAGTTTGGCTTTAACAATGGCCATATTTTAAACATAAAGTAACAAGAAACACATTCAATAAAATGTTCTTGGTATCAGTGTTCAAGTTTCTGCTCCATGGCGTCTTGACAAAGAAAAGTCGATTGTCTTTCGCGACTGAGCACATTAAATTTTCTCGAACGGTCCCTACTTAATTAACAATTATTGAATAAGGTTGAGCACGATATGAAGAATTATCAAGCCCGAAGTTTGCCGTTATCAACCGAAGCCGAAGGCTGAGATTGATAACGGCAAACTGAGGGCTTGATAATTCTTCATATTGTGCGAAAACCGAATTCAATAATTGTTTTATTATTTATTTAAAAAATTCAAAACAAACATTTGTATTTTATTTGTATTAAGAAAAAAACAATTCCTTAGTCCTTCGCCAGCTGTCGTTGCGTCATATCAATGGCGTCAGCGAGTCAATATGATTCTCGTCGTCATAGTAATATGGCGCAAGCGCGTCCAAATTTTTTTCATTTCGACTCTAGTTGACGTCATTTTGCTAATACGAATGTGAAAAATCCGTATTTGGTCAGCCATTGAGTTGATATGACAATTTCACAGTTGGCTGTTAGCCAATCAGAAACCAGGAATTTTTTAAATAAAGAATAATTAGAGGGTCCTGAAGGGGGGGTCCCAATCCCATTTCCCACCTGAAATTTTGGCAAAATCCCAGTCCCAGTTGGATTTTTATTAGAAATCCCAGTCCGAGTTATTGAAATACCAGTCAATAAAAAACCCTTTAATTATCGGTAGAATAAACAGTTTTAAGATCTTCTAAGCCACCGTGTGTGCAAGTGGCGGACACTTTATGAAATATTGGGGGGGGGGGCCGAAGGCGGGGGGGGCTTTTAAATTTGAATCCCGGAAATGGCATTTGCAGCATTCTCAGACACGCATAATCAGAAAACCCAGAATTCCGGGCGCCAGAGTATGCCTGTTCGCAGGTAGTGCTGTGAATAATATAGTTAACAACAAAAATCATGACCAAAGGCACCAAAAACGGATCAAAATTGGGAATCGAGTCGCATTACTTCAATCCCATTCCCATTTTTGAAGACTTCATTTCCCATTCCCAGTGGCCAAAACCCAGTCCCAGCAACCCAAATCCCATTTTCCCAGTCTAAAAATAGATCAATCCCAGTTCCCATTTTACCACTTCAGGACCCTCTAATAACATATATTGCACCGGTGCAATATGATTTTGCAGATTCATATCTTCGGTTAGGCGAATGCTATGAAGACAAAAATACTACCGTTCGATTCGTCATTGAAACAATATCTCCTAATTCCTAACAATAGTTTTAATCAAATGTCAACATTATAGCGATTTACGAACTTTGAGAGGTCAAGCATTATCATAGCTATAGTTCATTATTTTTAATACTCAATTTTCTCGAACAATGCAAACTAGCCGAACATAACTTCGGCCCCTTCGCACATATCCTTTTCGTAATAGTCTTGTTCAAATCAAATCAGCACTATTTACAGAGTGTTATTTCAAGGAACGTTTTCTGAATGTAAGGTCATCGCTCACTCTGTTTAACGTCAGAAGTATGAGGCTGTTAGCAATATGAGACGTAGTTTCCGAGCGGTTCACGATTAATTCATTTCAAAAATTTGGGATTTATTACTAGAGCATCATACTTCAAGCCCAGGACACCACCAGTCACATGAAATGGCAGAATCCGCCGTAAAAACAGCAAAGCGCGCCTACTTCAAAAGACCACAGTCGCTGGCACTGACTTCCAGATGGCCCTACTGGATTACCAAAACATCCCTTCGCAAGGCATGCATCTTAGCCCTATGCAACGGTTCATGAACAGACGATCACGGACCCTCCCACAACCACCAAGGCGTTACAAGCGTATCTTACAGCACAAGAAACACAGCAGAGTGAGCTGGTTAAAAAACAGAAGAAGCAGACAAAATATTACAACCGAGCACCAAAAGACCTCAGGAAACTAAAGATAGGAGACGCGGTACGCATGAAACCAACTCGCCTTGGCCAACACGAATGGAAAAAAGCATTGGTCACATGCTATGATGACAGATTGTATATCGTCGAGACAGAAGATGGTGGACAATACAGGCGGAATAGAGTTCACTTACGAAAGCTAAAGAACCATTCAGAACAGACAATGGCCCAACGGATGACAGAGGATCGGATGACGAAGCCAACGCCAACAAAGAAACGGACAATCCAGAGCCCAAACCTGCACCTGTACAGCAAATATTGACAAACTGCTAGAGACCGCAACGCCAGAGAAAGCCACCAGGCTACTATGACTGTAAGTAAATGCATATACTGTAGGCGAACAATAATTTATGTTATCTACAGTGGGACAAGACTGATTGCTGTTTGTGACAATCTCATTTGTTGTCTTGATTTTATTACCTCTCATTTACGTTGAGGGGAAGATGTTACAACATTTACCAGGGATCAGGTCTTTAATATAGTTGTTATTGCTAGAATGGCGTCGTTTTAATACACATACGACCTTAGCATTGTTAGCCTATGACACGAAATTTCACCCCAAATGTTTATGGTTGCATTGTAAAGATCACTGAAAATGACTTAATAATTTCTTTTATAGAATTTTGGTAACTTGCTTCCTTTTCAAGATATTCAACTTTGTTTCATATGCAAATATCACCGGTGTAACATCACATCACATCACATCACATAATGAGTTTTCAGAAAAGTATAGTTTTCTTCACGGATACGTATCCAAAAAAATTTAAAATTGCCCTTGTAGATGTATTAATTTCATAACTGGTAATTAACCCTCTGTATTTGTTTGTAAAAATATTTTATCAAGGTAAAATATTGCGTTTTCAAAATGTCATTATACGATGCGATGTCACATGCACCGGTGATATTTGCATATGAAACAAAGTTGAATATCTTGCAAAGGAAGCAAGTTTCCAAAATTCCATAAAAGAATTTATTAAGTCATTTTAAGTGATCTTTACAATGCAATCATAAACATTTGGGGTGAAATTTCGTGTCATAGGCACTTTTAAGTACAGTAATCTCTTGCAATTCATCTACTTTGTTTCCTAGTTTCGTAACATTTTCAGATATAAAAGCGGGTATATCATACTGTTTCCTGGGGGGAACTTTCTTTAATGCATTGTCATTAATATGTTTAGCATTTTGATTTGACGAAGTTATTACAACATACTGGCGATTGGCCAATCGGTACGAGGCTGAGGGTATACTGGTCATTTTCGAAAACCCTTGGTATTGTATGGTGATTTCCAGATAAACTGATAACATCTTCAACAAATTTTTGCAGTGCATTAAGGCCGAGACACATTGGACATGCAAAGCAGTTTAGATTTTCACTGACTGATAACTTTGATCCTAGTTTAAGTTTTTCAAATATTTTGTAGAACCGCTATAATATCCTGAGTTATTCGGTCTACATGTCTTTTAGAATTTTCTTTCATTGGCTGTTTTATTAACCATCAAAAACTGAAAAATCGCTCCGCGTTGTCGAATCACGTCCGGTGTGTCTCGGCCTTTAAGATCCAGTGACCACCTTATACCACAACTGTCGTAAATTAAGCAAGAATGGTTATTGCAAGTTGAATTCGCATCAATGCTCTCAATTATAAAATGTGTTCATGTACTTCCAGCTCACAAATTTATTACCGTCCGCCATGTTGGCGTTCGTTGCGACGATTTCGATCATGACGTCATGCTTGCACCCCACACTTGCATGCTAATTAGATTTACCACCCCATCATCTATCTCCACTGCTCCTCCACAACCTTCACCTCACTCCACCACCACCCTCCACCTCAAAAATCAGGCTCGAACGGTCCCTATGTTACTACTGGGACCTCTCTTGTCTTTACTTTTCATTAACGACTTACCTGATGTTGTTTCGTCTTCACTAAAGATATTTGCTGATGATGTTAAAGCTATAGGCAATGCCGTGAGACTGAGACCAGATATAATTTAGGAAGATCTTAATAATCTGGCAGATTGGGAATCTAAGTCGTGCATGACTTTCAATGTCGAGAAATGTTTTGTTATGCACCTGCGGTTGGATAATGTAAATTGGGATTATTCACTAAATCATAATGCATGTGCTTGAATCTGTACAGAGAGAACCCGATTTGGGATTTGAAATGTCTTATCAGTGTCAGGGTTAGGGAAAAAATATCATATCATAAAAAATATCATAGGGTTTGGAAAAAATATCAAACGGCATCATGGGTGTTCCGTAACAATGTATCACGTTCTATGTGTGTGCTCGTGCCAATATATAAGGCACTAGTTAGACGGAATTGGAATATTGTGTGCAGTTATGATCACAAGCTTTAAGAAGAGGGAATTGGGCTTTAATTATGAGCCTTTAATTATGAGCCTAGAAGACTGTCAATGAAGATTTGCGAAGTGAATCGAGGGTTTGAGTAATTTGTCTTATAAAGAAAGGTTGTCACGTTTGGGACTAATTAGCTACATTACTAGAGCGACGCTTGATTGAAACTTTTAAATGTATGAAAGGTCTTGTGGATTACGGAGATGGTTTTTTCCGCGACTCAAGATCAGGAAGAAATCTATAAACTTGGTTAAGGTGATGACTTGTCTAAACAGAGGGTAGTTAAATATCGGAATTTGGAATATGTTGCCATGTGAAGTAAAAGAAGAAAGTTTGTGAAGGAGTTTAATTAATTTAAACCAAAGATAGAAAACTACAAACAGACAAACTTTAGTAGGGTAATATAAATCTATATTGGAAGTTATCAGAAGAAATTTTAGAAGAATATAGACTTTTATAAATCTGGGATAAATATTCTTATATATGTTCCTTACTTTTTCTAGTAAATTTTTATTGCTACATATTTTTCTTGTTAGCAGTTTGTAAAATTATTGGAGATGCCCAAAGAGGCATAATTATTAAACTTAAAACTTAAATGGCAGACTTCATGTTTTAATAGGAGAATCACATCAAATGCATATTAAAAATAACTGCAAGTATATTGAGCAAGAACATCAACATTTTGCAATAATTTTAGTTTTCTATTCAATCTCTAAGAAACATAAAACTGCTAAAAAATTCTGGCAAATTTGATTGTTTTTAGCAAAGTGAGTATAAAGCATTGTGACTATAAAAGAAGAAAAAAGAAAAATGCTATAGTTCCAAAACATGTCTGAAGACAACCGCAGTCATTGAAATATATCAATAACATCCCCTGTCTTGCAATGATATCTCTTCGATATATCGAAAACTGTAAACTACTCGTGGCTGCGATATACGGAAAGAATGCCATTTCTTAGGTATATAGAGAAAGACTGCCATTTCTTAGACATATCGAAAACTCTACACTATCCATAGGCCCCTGGTTCAAGGGGCCCCCAGTTCAAAATGTTCGAAGTCCCCCCTAGTGGAAGTGCCAAAGGCACGAGTTGAGCGCCGTATATGCGCGAGTGTTCTAGGGGATCCAGGGCATGCTAACGCGAAAATTTTTAATCTAGAGTCTCTGAAATGCCATCTCTTGCACTTTGGGGAGAGATTTTACAGATATTCTGATGGTCAGAAAATTCTTATGTTCAGAAAATTCTGATGGTCAGAAAATTCTGATGGTCAGAAAATGACATTGTAACATATCAGAGGCCTCCCTGGTCGATGTTTTTGCATGCTCTATAGCCTGAGCCGTGGGTCCCCATTTGGCCTGTTGGGGTTAAGGGCCCCCGGGTTCGCCCGGTCTGAACCCATAGTAGTTACGCCACTGTTCTTCGATATGTAGAAAGAATGCCATTTCGCCCATATATCGACAACTCTAAACTATCCATGGCTTCGATATATCGCGAGAATGCCATTTCTTTTATATATGTATAGAAAGAATGCCATTTCTACATGGTTTCATGGCTGGACGATCTTGCGTGGCTAACCTAACTGATATTCTCTTCAAGGCAATAAAATCACCAAATGACGCAATACATTTACAGAAAGATATCAGTAACCTAGACAGTTGGTCATTTACATCTGGCTTGACATCCAGCCAAACTATAAATGCAAAGTACAGGCACTCACTCGTAAGATCAACCCAATCACTATTCCTTACATTATGAAAAGTTCGCAGTTGACATCTATCAAGAACGAATGTGATGATGGTGTTTGGATATCCTCCGATTTAACGTGGAACAAACAAGTTAACGAACGGAGTGCCAAAGCAAATACTGAATTAGTTTAGGAGAAACACACGAACAATTCACAGCAGTATAAGGTTGCACCGAGGTATATCGATCATTTTATCAATCCAAGAGGACTTGTTCATTTCAAGTTCGCATTTACTCCCCAAAGAACATTAGGTCAAAATTCATACAACAATTAAACCTGTTTGTAACTTTAATTACAGTAAATTTTTGCCATGAAATTAAAGTATCTACGCTAAACTTTTTAAGACTGCTTCATCAGATGGAAATGTGTGGTAATCAATTCTACCATTAACAATTCTCATTGCTTCTCCCACTTTATCTTCATCGTTCAAAAGTTGAATGAAACCTTCTGCAACAACATCAACCCTGTTGGAAAATTTGATATTTCAAAAAAGTTTAATCACTTTCGTGTGTTTAGTTTGGTCTATTGTGTGAAAAACACCAAGTTCATCAATTAGTCGAGTGTCGAGGGTTAAAAATCACAAAAATACTATATTAAGGTCAGGTAACGGCTTCGGATAAAGAAAGAGGGAGCTTTACCCAATCTTCTCGCCATGGTGTATTGTTATATGAGCACTTTTAAACCAACTAATCAAACTTATGCGACTTTCATCTTCACGCACATACTATATCCGCAGCGTATTTTGCCTTTTTCCCGAGCCAACGGCAGGGAGCGCCGTTCCGTGTGTAAGCCCGGGGCGAGGGTACTAATTCCGCCCGGCTATTCACACCCGGGGAAAGCATTAGCAAAGTCTAAAGTTCATCAATAATCGCGGGCGCATGACTATGGTTCATGGGTGTATGGGTGGTCATCTCACTGATCTCAAAATATGGCTAGCTGTTTGCCAGGAGTGAAGGAGGCGGAAATATTTTCGGCATACTGCCGTTTCTCTGGAGACACCCCCCCCCTGGAAAAGTCACACATTGTTATCGATATTTTGTTCGTATACGAATAATTTTCTACTATTTTCTGCGGTCGGCTATTGGCGATGCTTCCGCGAGGAATATGTCATCTTCTGCTGAAATATGTTTTTTATTCATATATATGAACTTCAAAATTTCCAACGTCTCTCAAAACCATTTTTTTTGCATGAATAATTAATCACAATTTTAGCGCATGTTTCTTGAAATTTGAGTGTTTTCAATGCAAGGAAGGCATAATAATATAAATATATAGAGCAGGTATGGTTTTACGAATGTAGGATAATTATCATAGGATAGGATTACGCTCTAGAGACCTCCGCTTTATTTCAAGCATAAATAAGTATTTTTGAAGCTTTTGAACTACATATCCTATTAAATTAAAGCTAAAGACCTTGTGGATCTATTTATCGTATTTTGGAATTGGATTTATATTGCGGTTTAAAGTTATTTTGGATCGTCTTATCGTATTGTGTTCATTATTGTTGTGTCACATGCTGCGAAGCTGAACTTTTGGATATTGCTCGTTATCTTTGGCTTTATTTGTCGTATTCGTGTGTAACTTGCTACGTATTCTACCAACGGTGTTATAACTTTCGCGTGTTAATTTGGTCTCATTTGGTTACCTTGTTCGTGTTTTATTAAACTATTATTATTTTGACCGTTGGTGCTTTAAACTTGAATTTGCCACGTCGCGTTCCTAGGCAACAACTTTACAGCAGCCTATCTTGGTTCTACGTACTCCAAAACATTTTATACTTTGGATTTAAATTGTTTTTATCATTCGCTACATTTTGGTATAGTTTTGTCAACTTTGCCATTTGGAATAACATTTGACTATATATATATAGGCCCTATATCATATTCCACCATTGGATTATAGCGTGTCAGGGATTTCCCCTTAACTTTATAATTGTCTCTTAATGGCGTCAAAATACAAAAGTAAAAGTAAAAGTCTGTTATGTTGCGTCAAATGTGTGTTTGGTGTTATGTTTCTTCGTGATTCTTAGCAGTTCTGAACGTCCCAGCCCTTGGAACAAGACTGCCTTTAAGGATAACGCTATTTACTTCATCTCACAATCTGGATCAAAACCTGAAATTCAAGCATTTTCCGTTCGAAAGGTGACCCATGAACTTAAAGAGGGGGATAAGTCCCTTCTGCGCATGTGCCCAGCGTTTGTTTACAGGGGACTCCACCGGAAATAAACCTCTCATCTCCAGTCCCATAATTGGCGACAAACACGCGCGATGTTTATATTCCACATGAGGTGATGAGGAGTGAATGTAAAATATTTATATAGAATTCGAAAAGGTTTCAACAAATTTGCGACTTTTATGAAACCAAATCCACTTATTAGTAAATTATTGAAACATATAAAACAACAAGAGAACACGGAAAGAATATTACGCCAACAAGGCTTCCCTAAAAGTGCGTTTGTGCGATATTCAGTGCAGCACGCTGTGATCAAATCGACATGTGCTGTTGTCTGCTGCGATGCCTTTTATATTCAGATAAATGTTTTGTTTATACTTGGGTTTTAACTGTTGTTAAATAGTAATTTTGGTCAGAAATTCTATGCTTTTATTATTATTATTATTATTATTATTATTATTATTATTATTATTATTATTATTATTGATCTTTAAACACGGTAACCTTTCACATAGGTGATTTTCAAAGGGCCGTGCGGAAAATAAATGCATTATAAAAGAAGGAACTAATAAACTAAATTATACTTATTTACAAAATATACTTATTTATTTATTTACTTATTTACAAGATGTAATTATTTAATAGATGATGGACAGATTTTAAACTTGTTGATTCTCTTAGGGTTTTCAACAAGTTTACTGGGATGTTGTTCCAATACGCTGCTCCTCTGTACGAAAAGCTATTTTTCAAGAAATTCGTTTTTGGTTTAGGTTGAGACAGCTTTAAATTACTACTGCGCAGTACGTAGCCATTGTTTTCACAAGTGTGAAATAGTTGTGTTATGTATTCTGGAAGCATGCCATTAATCGCTTTAAGGTGGCTCCATACAGTTCCGTAGTATAAATACCTTATTGCGTAAAAATTTCAATTTATAAATTTTATCACTCCATTATTAATTTTAAGCATTCCCAAGTATAAATTAAGTATTTGGTAGAAAAAATTTGCAATATTCTTGAACATAATATTGTTTCCATAGTAACAGTAGCCTCGCCAAATATGGTATTTTTTGCTATTTTAAGCAGGTTTTTATTCTTTATTTTCCCAATATTGCCGGTGACCCCCAATTTTTAACTGCTGTTTAGCTTTCACTTATAATAAGGAATCTTATCCCTGAAAATAAAAAAATTCTGTAGATTAGAATAGCCAGAATAAAAAATTGCGGATTTAAAGTTTTCCAATCTACAGATTTTTTTTAAATTTTGATATTCTATTTGTTTTAAAAGAAGTTATCGTTGTGCAAAATTTCATCACATGTCACCGTGCAAAATTTTGAATTACGCCGTTTTATTGTGGTATCTCACTCGCTCGGCCGAAAGTTTTTCGAGCTCTGCAAGATCAATGAATTGACATGCGCGTACATGTTTTCGCAGGCGCATCTCCAAAAAAACACGCACAAAAAGTTTTTAGTCTCGTCGAAATATCAAATATATGTTGTATTTTCTTGCTTAGAAATGCAGATATCTTTAGTTTTGCACGCTAACTCGGGATAACGCCAAGAAAACAGGTAATTGTGTCGTTTGGTATAAGATATGTGTGACATGTATGAACTTTTTGGCTTCTCTACATAGTTTTATATTCGTTTACAGTCGTAATTTGTGTGTTTTCATGTTGTTGTTGACAATTTAAAACAGTTTGAGCCGGCGTATGATGCTGTTTGACTGAATTCCTTTGCTGTTAGTGACACTTTGAATACATTTACCAGTTGTAAGTACAAAAAACTCCGGATATGAACTTATAAATCGCCAAATATTGGAGTAAAAAACGTTTCGCCGGTCGGGCCGATCGCCGGTTTTCACAAGAGTTTGAACGTTAAACATTGCATTTTTTACCTTAAAATGTCTTCTAAAAAGACTAGCTATTCAATGTTCATGGTTAAATCAGGACGAAGTTTGTTCTTTGAGAACAAAAATAACTCGAAACATTAAAATAACCATGACTTGTGGTTCGGATTTTAGACTGAAAAAGTTGTATTTATTTTTGCATATATTTGTAATATTTTCGCGCGAAACTCAAGATTAGGTACCAGTCCCCCGATGATGAAAGTGTATGGAGCCACCTTAAATGTCATAAGGAGATCTCGCTTTTTCAAAATTAAGTCAAGAGGTTTCCAGCTAAGTTTTTGAAAAATGTTCGAAGATCTTATAGTATAGTCCGAATTTGTTATTATTCTTGCTGCTCGTTTCTGAAGCTTATATAATTTGTCTAAGTGTGTTTGGTTGTTATTTTGCAAAACAGTTGAACAGTAGTTAAAATGAGGCGCGACTAATGCGTTATACATAATTTTGAGCGTATCTAGGCCAACAAAATCTTTGGCTTTTCTTAAAAGATTAATATTTTTTGATATCTTGTTGCATTGTTCTTCATTTTGCCTATTCCAGCTAAGTCTATCGTCTATAACTATACCCATAGCTTCCTTTTTATAAACTCGTTCAATTTGATGTCCGTTTATACTGATTTGTGGCACGTGATCTAAGTTTTTTAATCGTTGCCGAGATCCAATAATCATATATTTGGTTTTTTCGTTGGTTTAATGTTAGTTTATTCGCTGATAACCATTTTTGAGCATTTACTAGGTCTTTGTTAAGTTTGTATTCAATATCTATGGATAAATGCCCTTGACATGATAAAATTGTGTCATCAGCAAATAAATTAGAGTGTGTTGTTTCTAGGCAGTTTGGGAGGTCGTTTATGTAAATGAGAAATAATAGAGGTCCAAGATTTTAACCCTGAGGTACTCCACAACGAATTGTTTCAATATCAGATTTACAGTTATTTAGCATGCAAATTTGCTTTCTTTGATCTAAATACGATTGGAACCATTTGAGCGTGTGGTCGCGTATCCCATAAGCTTGTAGTTTTGACAATAGAAGCTGGTGATCAATCGTATCAAATGCTTTTTTCAGGTCTAAGAAGATAACCCCATTTATTTGACCCTGGTCCATTGATTTCAACCACATTTCAGTAGATTGTAGTAACGAGGTTTCGGTTGAGTGATTGCGACGGAAACCTGATTGATTTTTTACAATTATGTTGTTGTTATCCAGGAAGGCATTTAGTTGTCTACAGACTAATTTCTCAAATATTTTGGCGATATTCGAAATGACTGATATCGGTCTATAGTTTTCACATAAGGTTTTGTTTTCTGACTTATATATTGGAGTCACTTTGGCAAATTTCCAATCATCTGGAAATATTCCTGTCCTAAGAGATAGGTTAAACACTTCTAGGAGTGATATTGCATTGGATTTATATGCTGACTATGTATTTAATATTTATTTACCAGATCTGATCGAATATTCGTCCCCGGCAAAGAAAGTCAAGAGATTTGAAACTACAGTCAGTGACAAAAGGTTTTTGGACAGTGATATAATATAGACATATCTGCGCATTTCCAAATACTGTTCAGCTTAATAACACTATCCCTCCCTCCCCCACCCTAAACAATGTTGGGTCGCTGGCAAGGAACATTTTGTGCAGGTATTTCCACACACAACATTGAACGGGGGGTGCGGGGGGTCGATTATGTTGTAAACGTACGCTGTTTAGCTATTTTGTCTAAAGTGTTTCGTCACTGATTGTCCGAAACGGTATTTTAAGCCAAATTAAAATTTCAGTTATTGAAGCTAGAATTACTTGTATTTTATAGTATTACCAATGGTGTTTACAAATATAATAGATACCGTGTTTTGGTGAGCGTAAACATGGTTAATTTGCGCATACATTGTATGTTATTATTCTAGTTTAATCATAATGCGTTCATGCACGTTTCCAGAACCAGTCCAACATTGGGAATTTCGTAGTTTGGAACTGCAAGCGAAACTAGTAGAGCAATCTGGAATTTAGGGCAGGTAAACACGTTCGGAAGCAAATGCAATTATCTTTAAGTGCTTATTACGTTACTTTTGTGGAGAATGTAACGTCATCGGTAATATCCGGATTAATCTCAAAGCTGTAGTATTATAAAGCGCACAGTATGCATGCTATAAATAAGAGCTAGTTATATAGAAACAAAGTAATAATGGCATATAAAAAAACTATTTCAGATACAACGCGAGCGTATGTGCTATTTCTTGGTAAAGAGAAACGATATTCCTGCAGAGCGATTGCTAAAAAAGCAAGAATATCTAAAGCGTCAGTCTCTCTTATTCTGAGAGGAAAAGTTCAGCGCAAGCAAGATTTGAAAACATGCAAGAAAATTGGTAGACCAAAGAAGCTGTCAGATAGAGATTGCAGAAAATTAATAAGAACAATAAAAACTCTGCGTGATAAAGACCCAAATTTTACTGTTAAGCGCTTGGTTGCGCACAGCGGACTGCTGTCACGTGATATTTCGTATCGGACATTTTATCGTGAGGTGAAAGCAGCTGGGTTTGATTATCTACCTGCGCGTAAAAAGGGGGTTTTAACAAGCCGTGATCGCACGAAAAGAAAGTCGTTTGCGCAACAATGCAAGAAGATCCTTTCCACAAAGCCCGGATTCTTCTCGCGAAATATTGCCTTCTATTTAGACGGGGTTTCTTTTGTTTATAAGACACAGCCTCTTAGTGACGCTTTAGCCCCTAGAGGGCGTGTATGGAGAAGAAAGAGCGAGGGTTTACAATTGACGGCAAAAGGATCTAAAACCCTTGCGGGTGGAAAACGGCTTCACTTACTGGTCGCAATTTCTCACAACAATGGGGTTGTATTGGTCGAAGAATATGAGAAAATGACCGGTACCTATTTCGCTGAGTTCGTAAAAAAAAAATTTCCAGCACTACTATCGCGCAAGCGTGGAAGAAAATGGTTCATAATGGACAACGACCCGTCTCAGCGAAGCCTAGCAGCTAAGACAGCTATAAAGGAAGAGGGATGTGAGTTATTTTGTATCCCAGCGAGATCTCCAGACTTAAATCCAATAGAAAACATGTTTCACATAGTTAAGAAGCAGCTTGATGCTCAAGTTAGAGACTCACAGATTGTGCGTGACACATGGGAACAATTTAAGACTAGAGTTATAAAAACTTTATATAATGTTTCTGTAGATTATGTAAATAATATTATCACAAGCATGCCTAAGCGAATACACGCTGTATTGCAGGCTGACGGCTTTAGAACAAAATACTGACAAAGTTACTATGACAACGGATTGTACATCGAATTTCCGTATCAACGAATCCCACTCATGTTCGCGTAATAATTTCCATATTTTCTCACATGTATATGATCGTTGTTGGGAATTTAAACACACAGTTGCGTGCGTAAGGAATACATTAATACTTTGGCTTCAAATACGCGTGCGTTTCGTTATAAAAGACAGAGAAAATGGGTTAAAAGTCGACGAATCCCACTTTTCTATTTATTAATTATGATGTCATATTTCAACTTACTATAAATAGTGGGAATCGTTCGACGAAAGTCGGAATTTCATGGAATCAAATTGATTTCGCTAGAAGTTAACCACATAATCGATTCCTTTGGCATATTTACAATAAGCTAAGAGAGAAAAACAGCAAGAATTGTTGAACTTAATTCCCTTTTCTACATAAAATGTGACTGGGATTCGTGTGGGATTCGTTGATGCGTCATAAGCCACTTAGTTAGGGATGACCAGAATACCTATTTGTTAACACCTTAATGTAGCCTACGTTAAATTAAAATACATTATTATAGATCACTGTTCAGCGTATAATATTAACTCAGCAAAGCATCGAGCGCAAGCCGCAATGTTTCTTTGTTCATCACGCGGAATTTGTCTATGAAGCGGAAACATTCGCCATCTTACATTCATCATTTCTGTGTTCACGCGATCAATAGATCCATTGTTAATTAAAATAAGTGGGGCGTCACTCGTTGCAAAGAATGGCGTGTCCCTCTCGAGAACAATATCTTTGCTCATCTGATTTTTCGGGGCTGGAAAATGAACCGTGTCACCTTCTAAGACCTGCAAAAACTCGCACCACGGTATAAGGGATGGCTTCCATCTGAAATCATTAAGTAAAACAACTTCAGCCGATTCAATTCCCAACCAAGCAAAATTTCCAGATGCGGGATTAACAAAACATTCGTATATTTTCTTTAGGGGTGAAACTAAAAATGTTTTTCCACAATTTGCTGGACCGAAAATATAAATATTTCGGTACTTCCCCCTTCCTCTAGATAGGGCGTCATACATGGCTGAAGAAAAGTCCGACTTTTGGATCCCATTCATATCTAAAATTTCAAGCGCAGCACGTTGCCAAGCACCATCACAACCGCCCTCGCAGGTTTTGCCTAGTTGATCTTTCAAAAACTCTATTCGCGATTTCTTTGACCTGAGAAGACGTTCTTGTGCGCAACTAAGTTCTTTGGCTGTCTCCAAAGCATCATTCACTACTTTGCTGCCTCTATTAGACACAAATTCAGCTAAGTCCGTCTTGCCTTCATCTTTCCATCTCGCTGCCAACGCCATAAGTTCTAAACGACACGTAATTTTGTGATGTTGTATAATTTGTACAACATCGAATGTTGACAAGCGCTTTCGTTTGTTTTTTGAGGCCTTTCGATTGCATTTCCGCTTTTTTGTTGCATTTGACGTTTTAGGGGGGTCAGTCGTGTTGGATAGATCAGGGTGATCAGGGGAGACAATAAATTCGGCGTCTTCCTTCGTTACATATTTATATGCCCCATAATAATTGTCGTGGTGATCCGAAAAGTTTACTTTAATTCCGTGTTTCTCGTCAATATAATTTCTTGCACGCAGCCAGCGTGATTTTGTGTTCAGTTTTATGGCCATATGGAAATGACGACCGCCATTTTGATGTTGCTCTTCGCTCACTACCCATTGTAGAACTTTCGATCTGTAACATGATTTCCAGGCATTGACTATAACTTTGGCAAAGTCTGGCTTCGCTAAACCAGAAGCATCGCATTGACTAAAAGTAATTAAAAATACTGACCGTTGCAGTGGAGACGAATTAGGGATATCCTGTTGTATAGCAGACATAACTCTGCAGTTTAGTTTAATGTGAACATAAACTTATTGAATGAATGAATGAATGAATAGTTTGTGTAATAAAAACATCATCTGGCAGTCAGAAGACTGAATTACATGACGTTAAGTGTAACAAGGTTATAAATAGTAAAAAATTCTATATTACAATGCAATTTAAAAATTGTTAATATATACTATATATCATATACTTAAATGTACTAATCTATATGAGTTAAAAATTCTAAAATGTTCAAGGAACATCTAATTTGTAATGTTTCTTAGCATAAAAGTTGATAAAGGAGTTTCCGAAACGATTTGTATTTGCTGGTAAAACTTCAAAAGATCTTTCTTTTCGTAATTCTCTATTGCCTGCTTTGGATGGTAAAAGTTTGGCAAGTTTATGATCATCATTTAAAACAATGTCGTTGAAGAGATTATTGGATAGATACTCCCGTCTGTTTTCAAGAGTAGGAATACCAGCGATGTTAAGAGCCTCGTCGTAAGACAATTCATAGAATATTATTTTCATTGCTCGCTTCTGTATACGTTCAATGTTTTTTGCAAGATTTCGTGGCAGGGAACTATGGAATAATTGGCACGCATATTCGAGGACAGACCTTATACAGCTGCAGAAAAATTTGACCAAATCTGCCGAAGCGACATCAGCACGTTTGAGTTGCCTCAACAAATATAAACGTTTAGCTGCTTTGGAGACAATTGAATTTACATGGTCTATCCATTTAAGGTCATTTCCTAATATAACTCCAAGCGATTTGATACTTGTCACTCTTTCCAAATTTCGGTCACCAATACGTATAGGTTCAAAAACAGGTGGTAATCGTGAAAAGGATATTACCATTTCTTTGCATTTAAATATGTTTAGTTGAAAGGAATTGTCCATAGACCAAGTAGTAATATCATCGATATCCATTTGTAAAGTACTTTGTTCGTTTTTTTCAACAATTTCAGAGACCGTAGTATCGTCGGCAAATTTCCACATTTCTGAAAGGTGATTATGTA